ATTCCAGACAGGTACACAGGAAACGAAAAGTGGTTCACTGTAGTATATCAAAGACAAAACACAGCCAGGCCTTAGTTTAAATGACAAAAACATTTTATTTAGTAACCACTGACAGTGGGAAACCATCTGGGTTTCATAACTGGCACGTATCAAAATCAGGCTCCACAAAGCCTGGGAGACGAGGGCCCTATCTTCAGACGTTGACTGAAACAAATGGTAAATTCCTTTGGCAGCATCAATTGAGTTTTCTCAGGCAGGCACTTGAAGAGATCGGGCCTATTAGAAACTACGTTCGCGTTTGTTCAGGTCTTTATAGGCCAAGGTGGCCACCTAGTCCAGAAGAGGGCTCAGAAGAATCCGCCTAGAGTTTGGTCAAAAAGAGAATCGTTGCCAAGTAGATGAGGGAACTGGGCGGCTGGGGACTGTTGGGGATGGGATGGTTTATAGTATTTTTTGCATATTCAATTATTAAACCGTAGCAATGAAATACCTAATCGAAATAATAAAACGAAACAAAGTTTTAGCTACATTATCCTATCCATTATCGCCACAAGATGGCGATAGCGCTTCTCAATTCGCCTGCGGGACAGAGGAGGGTGCGGCCCCGAGAACTCCTCTCTGTGCCAACCGGCAGCGTTTCGTTAGTTCAGTCGCCTGAGCTTTTCTGCATGTAGATTCCTCTCAGGGTAGCCCTTTGTTGACCAAAAAAGAAATACGTTCACTGATTTGGCCAACTTTTTTTTTTTTTTTAACTTTTTTTTTTGGAGGGGTAAGGGAGTGGTCATGGACATCCCGAAGTAGACACAAAATACAGAGAATCCTGCACTTCCCAAGGCTCGTCGCGGAGGCTTCAACAGTTACCAACATCTTGCCCATTTTGTTTCATTATCCGCACCCACACTGACAGATGAGGGAGTCTAAAAAATATCCGAAACATGAAATCCCATATATGTGATTTTAATTATGAATATTTTCACAAATATCCTAACAGATACGGATATAAAGAAAATACACTAAGATTTTACACCTAAGAAAATTTAAAAAATGATGTGTAACATTATCCAATACCTAGCCCTTAAAGAAAGAAAATCCTGAATTGTCTCAAGTATTTTTTATACTGATTTTGTCTGAATGAGATCCCACCAGATCCAAATACGGCATTTGGTTGCTGTTCCTCTTGAATGTATTAAAATCCGTAAATTTACCCAGTTCTCCAAGTAGCCTGACTGCTCTTTGAAAAAGGAATTGAGACCATAATCTGGGTGGGAATTCTCACTGATTATGGATTGTCATTGCTTTTAAAACATTCTTTGAAAAGTGTTGTGGAAAAAATGGTTTTTTGTTTTTTTTTTTTGTTTTTTTTTGAGATCTGTCGCCCAGGCTGGAGTGCAGTGGCACGATCTGGGCTCATTGCAATCTCCGCCTCCCGAGTTCAAGCGATTCTCCTGCCTCAGCCTCCCAAGTAGCTGGGACTACAGGCACGCACCACCACGCCTGGCTTATTTTTGTATTTTTAGTAAAGACCGAGTTTCACCATGTTGGCCAGGTTGATCTCCTTCCTGACCTTACGTGATCCGCCCGCCTCAGCCTCCCAAAGTGCTGGGATTACAGGCGTGAGCCACCGCGCCCGGCCAAAGGTGTACTTTTTATGAGAGTATTTTTAAAAATATTCAAATTATCTGTCACAGTTCCTTGCCTATGCCCCTAAAAAGAGAGGGGAGGGGTGGGGGAAGTGGGGGGTGGAAACAGAAATAAAAAGAAAACTGACAGAGGAGGAGTCCAAAAGCCCAACTCCCATTAAGTCAAGACTTCCCACAGTTCTTTAAGCCAGCAAATGAATGTAATTTAAACTGCTTCAAACTTCATATAAAAATAAATCATTTTTGGTAAATCAATAAACAAAGAGGCATCTCCATGACTACTGGTGGGAGTATGTACTCCTCCTTTTCTAAAACAAAAAAAACAGCAGAGAGCCCTGAGTTGGAAACATGGAAAGCATAACTTTTCTGAGTTGGCTATTATTAAGTGTAATATGAGACGGACCACTCCATTCCTACATCTCTTTTCTTTAACCAATGCATTTTGGCTACAGAAGAAATTATGCCTTTTCTTAGCCACTATTCAGCACATCTACAACATCCAAAATTGAACAGTACTCCAAGAGGGTGCTCAATGACTACATGCCACTTTAACTGAGTCTTCCAAAAACAGACTTCTGCTTATAAGGAATGTGGTACACATTAGGACTACTGAGTCCCATGGTCATCCATTCATTACCTTACCCTTTCTGTATAATGGGTCCAAAAAATGTTGAGATATGAGGTATGAAGTGTTCAGTAAGTTCATAGGTGGTCCTGCTAGCAATAGCAAAGTGAAGCATATCCAAATTTAGAGGGTTTATCTCAGTGAAGACAAATCCCTGCCTTATCCATCACAAAATACTTGCAAGAATACAAGAATACTTCCCCTGACATATGGGGCACTTAGCAGCATCAGTATCCAGAGGTCAGCCTTGGTGAGCTAAGTCTATACTACAGAGCTCAAGTATCACCTCTACCATTGCCTGCCATCCTGGTCACATTGTTTACAAATAAATCACTTGGGCAATCAGTGGGGTGATAGGAAAAGAGACTACATAACAGCCATATGGTTGATGAGTACCTGATTGTTGATAGCCTCCTCTGAAGAGTGAGAATTTAGGTTAGTATTCACATGGGACATTATTCTCATACTCTGGGACCATTCTGGGAAATTCGTCCATATCACCATTCCCCAAAGCTTCTTGTCAACACAGCCTCCACTTTTGCCCACTTAAAATCTCTGTCTATCCAAACCATTAGCCGTGTACATTCAGTTTAGATCACTCTCCTTCTAGAAAAAGTAAACAATGGCATTCAGTACTCCAAATTGTGCTGAGTGGCAGCAATTCTTTTTCCTATTGCCATTTATGGACATACTTGAGTTACAGCTTCTAATGCTACTGTTACAACTGGCGTCAGTAGTATTAGCCAGCTTATATTGAATGCTCACTATGTACAGGACATTGTTGTAAGTATACCAAAACTATTTGCTCAAGAGGCACTATTACATCCCCTATTACATCCCCTATTACATTTTAAAATGAAGGGAAAAGCCAGAGGAAAAAAAAGAGAAAAAAGCCAATTCTTCAGGAACTGGTTAGTAATGGGGTTGAACTTGTAGCATTCAGTTTTTTTTTTTTTTTTTTTTTTTGGAGACGGAAACGCCTCTGTTGCCCAGGCTGGAGTACAGTGACACAATCTCGGCTCACTGCAACCTCCGCCTCCTGGGGTCAAGTGATTTTCCTGCCTGAGCCTCCGGAGTAGCTGAGATTACAGGGTCCTGCCAGCTCATCGGGCTAATTTTTGTATTTTTAGTAGGGATGGGGTTTCACCATATTGGCCAGGCTGATCTCGAACTCCTGACCTCAACTGATCCACCAGCCTCGGCCTCCGAAAGTGCTGGGATTACAGGCATGAGCCACCCCGCCCAGTCCCATTCAGTTTTTCAAGCAAAGTATTAACTTTTTGTCCTTATTCTTAAGGGGACACTAGCAAGATGAAAATAACCCATAAGGTGATCATTTGTTTCATTACCTCTTAGGCAGGTTAGTCTTCTGAGTAACAGAATTAGCTGGGTTCTTTTCAACTTAACTTTGTGTAGTTTTCGAAAACCTAGCCTTTACAAATTTTCACCTGTGGCTGGATGATATGCCCATGAGTCAGTCGCAATCCTCCTTTTCTTACAAACTCTGCTTTTTATTCTGATTTCTACATCTTGTATGACAAAGAAGCAAGTTATTTAGCTTGGAAATTATCATCTGACTATTTGGATTAATAGAGAGGGTCAGAGGCCCCTGTAACATAATAATGTCATAAAAGTAATTTAAGTTCTGTTTATTCACAGAATTGATAACAGTTCAGTTATCATTAGTATGGGATTATGGTGAAGTAAAAGAACTTCAGTGTATATTTTCTACATAGAAATATATACAACAAACCAGATAGCAATTTAAAGAGATATATATTTTAGAAACTCACAGAGACAGTTTTCAAAGGCTGGACAAGTGTCCGAGAAAAAGCTCAAAAAACAAATTTCATAAAGCAGACAATATTTAACTGGGCTTTGAAAAAAATAGAACTTGAGTCAACAAAAGTGTGTATTTGATAGTGGATTTAACAAAAATACTAATTGCTTTAGATGCTATTACTGTGCTAAATTTAGATCCATTTTAAATAAACTAGATAGTAACTCAAGTTTATATACAATTACTACCTTTGAAACCAAAAGCCAGTCATAGTCGGAGCTTCCAAATGCTTTATAGACCTTGGATTTTTACCTAAGAGACACATGACTGAATAGTTACAACCTAGAGCAACATCGTTTGTTGGATGACTGGTTCTCATTTGTGACAACCTGAATAAGGGGGAACTTGCTTTTCCTCACTTCTCCTAGGCAAAGTCAAAAACAGTATTTAAAATACTAACGAAAGGAGTTTTAAAATTGAAATTGACTTATTTCAGAAAAGAGTCTGGGATAAACGTCCTCAAGTTTTCTGCCTTAACACCCCGAATTGTCCTGTTTAGGCTTCTAATGCCTTTGCTTATATAGATACACCATAAAGAGAAAATAGTATTCTAATTAGAGATAAAGCATTGATCAGGCTGAAAACTACCGCCTTCAAATTCCATTGCAGCCGGACTGGATGGCTCACGCCTGTAATCAGCACTTTGGGAGGCAGAGGCTGGTGGATCACTTGAAGTCAGGAGTTCCAGACCAGCCTGGCCAACATGGTGAAATCCCGTCCCTACTAAAAATACAAAAATTATCCGGGCATGGTGGCGCATGCCTCTAATCCCAGCTACCCGGAAGGCTGAGGGAGGAGAATCGCTGGAACCCGGGAGGCGGAAGTTGCAGTGAGCTGAGATCACGCCACTGCACTCCAGTCTGGGTGACAGAGAAAGTCTACCTCTCAAAAAAAAAAAAAAATGATTATGTTGACATAAAGAGTCCCTTTTTAAAAAAATCGCTGTATCCAATGAAAACTGAGAAGAAATCAATCTCCTTCCCGAAAGCGATAAAATACTAAAGAATGAGAAACACAAACTGACAGTTTACTGAGTTTGTTAAGGAAGGCCAAATAAAGGCGGGGTTTGAATTCCTTTGGCGCACCCAAACCGACCGTGGACTTCCTGGATACAGCAACTAATCAGGATGCAGACAGGAAGGGTGGGCGCTGCCCGGACAAATTCAAACTGATAACCGCTGCAACTTGGCACTGTCCCAACTCACTATCCGCTGGGGGACTGACGAGTATTTTAGTCGGTTTCGAACGTGTAATAGAAAGTCTCCCCATGTCCTTACTTAACTCTAAGGGGATTAGAATGGCAGATCTAAAAAAAAAAGTCATTAAGGATTGGTTCAGACTAAAAAACACAGTAGTGAGTTACAAGTACTATGTCAATGGCCAGCACAGGAGGAATACAAGCACCAGCTCTCTCTTTGAGAAGATGGGTGGCTCTTAAAAGAGCCGTTAGGGTCGAGAGTTTGCAACCAACTCACTGTTTACTTAGCGCTGGTGTATTTGGTGACGGCCTTGGTGCCCTCGGACACGGCGTGCTTGGCCAACTCCCCAGGCAGCAGCAGGCGCACAGCCGTCTGGATCTCCCTGGAGGTGATGGTCGAGCGCTTGTTGTAATGCGCCAGACGGGAAGCCTCACCAGCAATGCGCTCGAAAATGTCGTTCACAAACGAATTCATGATGCCCATGGCCTTGGACGAAATGCCGGTGTCAGGGTGGACCTGCTTCAGCACCTTGTATACATAGATGGAATAACTCTCCTTGCGGCTGCGCTTGCGCTTTTTGCCATCTTTCTTCTGCGCCTTAGTCACCGCCTTCTTGGAGCCCTTTTTCGGGGCGGGAGCGGACTTCGCGGGCTCTGGCATAGCGAACACTAGCTACAAAGCTCCAAGGAAAAAGAAAAACACAGTGAGCAAGGTACGACAAGGCGCTTTTATATAGAATCGCTTATGCAAATAAGGTGAAGAGTTGAAGTCTTGTGTCTGATTGGTAGTTATTCAGGGTAACGTCAGAGGTCAGTTCTGCCCAATCAGGATTCGCAAATCCAGAAGACGTACTGCCATTGGTTGAAATTAAACTGCAGTCCTAACCAACAACACGTCTTCTTTTTCGCGCCCAATAGTGTTTATAAAAAGCGCCGCCTGTCCTGTTTGTTTTGTAGTTGCTTGTGGTGAGTTAGTGGCGCTCGCAATGTCTGGACGTGGCAAGCAGGGAGGCAAGGCTCGCGCTAAGGCCAAGACTCGCTCCTCTAGGGCTGGGCTCCAGTTCCCCGTGGGCCGAGTGCACCGCCTGCTTCGCAAGGGCAATTATGCCGAGAGGGTTGGGGCCGGCGCGCCGGTGTATCTGGCAGCGGTGCTGGAGTACCTGACAGCCGAGATCCTGGAACTGGCGGGCAATGCGGCCCGCGACAACAAGAAGACCCGCATCATCCCCCGTCACCTCCAACTGGCCATCCGCAACGACGAGGAACTCAACAAGCTGCTGGGCAAAGTCACCATCGCACAGGGCGGTGTCCTGCCCAACATCCAGGCAGTGCTGCTGCCCAAAAAGACTGAGAGCCACCACAAGGCGAAGGGCAAGTAACTACCTGGACTAGTTTGTGGCAACTGGAGTAAAACGAGTCCAAACCAACGGCTCTTTTAAGGGCCACCCATGTCTTCTCTAAAAGAACTTAACATTTCCACGTGGAAGAAAATGAGACCTGGGGAAAACTTAAGCCATAAGTTACCTATCCTTATACCTTTTTAAGACAGTGTAGCGAACACCGCAGATTTAAAAGAAAAACTAGAGGAAAGGTGGTCCAGATTTTACCACGTTTGAAAGTTAGGATGTGAACAGATGTATTAGGCTACTACTTAATTTTAAACTTAGCGTGTGTCCACAGAGTGCCAGTGGCTTCATGAGTTTTTGAAGCACTTTGGCACAAGGGTTATTGCCCTGGCTATAATTTAGCAGACAGCTATTCCACGCAGGCCAAGGGCGGCAAGAATTCCCCCCGCTATGTGCCCTGCACGGTGACCCTGCGCGACGTAGGGCGCTACCAGAACTCCGAGCTGCTGATCAGCAAGTTGCCTCCTGTGAGAGCTTGGCGGTGACGCCGCTGCAGGAGAGCAAGGCTGCAGGACTTTGTGACACGATAGTCCACCTCCCTGCAAAGGCTCTCTCAGACACATCTTTCCTGATGGATAGCTGTGAAGCATTCTCTTACCCACCCCACTGCATGTTTCAAAGTATTCCTTTAAAATGAAGTGAGTAAAATAGTGGGATGACGTTATCTGGAGCCCAAGAAAGATTTCTCATTTGGAAAGGCCTAATATCTTAAGTTGCTTACCCAGAAGAACTTGACAGGATAGTTATTTCTAATAAACCTTAAAACCCTTTCAGGAAATTTGAGGTAAAGTGTTAGCACACAGACTGTTAAAACGTCTTCCTCACAAATACGGGGGAAAATATATAGAGGATTATCATATGGTTCAACAAATGATGAGTATTAGAAATGTACTTTAGAAATGAGTATTAGAAATGTTTATGAGTATTAAAAAACTACAGTGTTGGGCGTTCCTGACACAAACTGAGGCCTCCTAGCAAGACTGGCAGATTTCTGTGGAGGAGGGTTATTTAGTACGATAGTGCAAATAACTTTTGGTGTTGTAGCTAAATAAGGAATATTCATACCAAGATTGCACAATCTTGCCTCCTAGCTCTGTTCACTGAACTCTGATGTAATTTATTTATTTATTTATTTTTATTTTATTTTATCATTTTTTTGAGACGGGGTCTCGCTCTGTCGCCCAGGCTGAAGTGCAGTGGCGTGATTTCGGCTCACTGCAAGCTCCGCCTCCCGGGTTCACACCATTCTCCTGCCTCAGCCTCCCGAGTAGCTGGGATTGCAGGCGCCCACCACCATGCCTGGCTAATTTTTTGTATTTTTAGTAGAGACGAGGTTTCACCGTGTTAGCCAGGATGGTCTCAATCTCCTGACCTCGTGATCCACCCGCCTTGGCCTCCCAAAGTGCTGGGATTACAGGCGTAAGCCACAGCGCCTGGCCCACTCTGATGTAATCTTGAGAAAAAGACATTAACATTTTTCTTGCGTATTGTAGACACTTTTGGCTGTCTGGTAACATGGAAAATCTCAGAATGATGTTTTAAGTATATAAAATGCCAAAGTTAAATTACGGTTATCAGAGTATTTTTGAAACTTGATAGTGATAAATGGGCCTATATAGTTATGTTGTTAATATAGTTAACACATTATATAACTTGGTGAGCCTAATTGCTGTTACTAATTAGAGGAGTATAAATGTTTCAAGATAACTCAGCAATTGTAATGAGAAATGAAACATCTAATGTCTTTTGGGTTACAAAGTAACAGGTACTGAGATTTGTGGCCTAAATTCATAATAAAGTGAAATGTTCAAGTTCAGTCAAGGTTAACTTTTTAAAAATAGATATTTTACTACCCAAACTCACAGACTTCCCCTTCAGCACCCTCCAATTGCTGAATTTTATCCTTAGGGGCGTTGTGACATATAAGTATGGACCTCAGGTTAAAAACTCTTGCTCTAAAATTTGGTCGACCTACCCCATTTCTTTTCAGCTCCTTTTCTCTAGATACCTCCTCTTCCTATCTGGAATTTCTTTAGCACTTAGTCTATTGACATCTCGTAACCTTTTATTGTTTCTGTTTCTTGTTCTTAAAATATAACTACTTCCAATCCTAGTATAAATATGATGTTCTGGAACAGAAATAAGTGCTGACAATTAGCAAAAATAGGTACTTGAGAGGCCCCCAAAATTGTAAAATATTTGGCTTTTTGATGGATTTTTATACTGTGTAACCCAAATAATAATTTTATTCATTTTTGAGTTGTTTGTCTTTAAAGGTCTTTCAACTTATTTAAACTAATATTTAATAAATTTCACAATTAAATGTATAGTGGTTGGACACAGGATGTATTTTGCAAGTGTAACTGTCACTGGAAAGGGGTCCCAATCCAGACACCAAGAGAGGGTTCTTGGGTCTCTCTCAAGAAAGAATTCGAGGCAAATCCATAGAGTACAGTGAAAGCAAGTTTATTAGAGAAGTAAAGAAAATTGTTCTTTTGTTCTATTCTAAGGATATTTATAGTTATTTCTTGATTACATGCTAAACAAGGGGTGGATTCTTCATGAGTTTTCTGGGAAAGGGGTGGGCAATTCCCCAACTGAGAGTTCCTCCCCCTTTTAGACCATATAGGGTAACTTTCTGACGTTGCCATGGCATGTGTAAATGGTCATGGCACTGGTGGGAGTGTTTTTTAGCATGCTGATGCATTATAAGTGTGTATAATGAGCAGTGAGGATAACCAGAGGTCAATTTCCTCGCCATCTTGATTTCGGTAGGTTTTGGCTGGCTTCTTTACCTCATGCTTTTATTAGCAGTCTTTGTGACCTGTACCTTGTGCCAACCTCTTCTGTGACTCATTCTGTGAATACAAATGCCTTAAGCTTCTGGGAATGCAGCCCAGTAGGCCTCAGCCTTATTTTACCCAGCTCCTATTCAAGATGGAGTTGCTCTGATTTAAACGCCTGACATAATAAAGTTTGCTGCTAGATTTGTTTTGTAATGTGAAAGAATGTGAGTACTCAGAGTTACTCTGTTTGAACTAAGTTTATCTTGATAGTCAGTTATCCTATTAGAAAAGAGACTGATTAGCATCACATTTTTTAAAATGTTATACTGTGTGTATGTTTACTATTGATTTCAGGACTAAATTTACCGTCAATTTCAGAAACTAAAGAGTCTGACAAACTCAAATATCCTTGTAGGGGAGGCAAAATTTTACCTCTAGCCTCTTGAGTTTTTATGGCTGGGCCTGATAATTAAACTGACATAAGACAGATTAAGAGGAGAAAAGCATATAACTTTATTTAATATAAATTTTATGTGGCATGGGACATGGGAGCTCTAATTACAGACCCCAAAGAAGTAGCAAAACCTAAATGCTTTTATAGTAGGTTGAACGGAGTAAATTGTGAAAATGTAACTATGTAGGAAGGCTAAAGGAAAACAATTATTTTAAGGAGATCTGCTTGTACAGAATTCTCTTGGTTTGAACTTCCTGTCCGTGATGAAAATGTTCTTTTCCTTTTGGTACAAGGAGGACATCTTCCACACCAGGCCTCTGAGCCCAAGCTAAGCCTGTGATATGCACATATACATCCAGATGGCCTGAAGCAACTGAAGATCCACAGAAGTGAAAATAGCCTTGACCGATGACATTCCACCATTGTGATTTGTTTCTGCCCCACCCTAACTGATCAATGTACTTTGTAATTCTCCCCACCCTTGAGAATGTACTTTGTGAGATCCACCCCCTACCCCCAAAATATTGCTCTAAACTCCACCACCTATCCCAAAACCTGTAAGAACTAATGATAATCCCACCACCCTTTGCTGACTCTCTTTTCGGACTCAGCCCGCCTGTACCCAGGTGAAATAAACAGCCTTGTTGCTCACACAAAACCTGTTTGGTGGTCTCTTCACACGGACATGGGAATTTTAATTCCTGCTTTTAGGGAGGAAAAAGGGAACAATGAGAGTGCCTTTCTGCCTTTCTTGTACCTACTCTTTTAAATTGCCTTTATCTCAAAATCTTATTCCAAAATGGCATATTTTGGGATGGCATATTCTGCCACATTTTACCATTCATTGCTATCCTTATTGTCACTAATTGCTATGCGAAAACTCATGAAATCAGATACAGAAAATGGCTTCTGATTGGTGAGAAGCTCAAGCAGAGAAATATATTTGTTAACTAATGTTGGGGAAAATACAATTTTGAAATCTCCCAAATAATAGAAAGGAAATAATTTTATTATTGAATAAGCATTAAACCAGAGAGTTGCTTATCACAGGCAATCTTACAAAGAGATTGCAAAACCAGAAAGAAATCTTGCTTTCTTATTAGGAATAGCCACGTTGGATAGGTTTTGCAATTCGAAGTTAGGTGACAGCTAAAGTTTGGCCTATTTTCTCACTGGAAACTGGGAGACAGAGCACTATCTTTTTTAATGATGAACATTTCAAAGAGATAGCTCTCCAGGCATTGAGAAAATATTCTCAGTTATAAGGCCTGTTTAGTCATTAAAAGGATTTGCATACATTTTAAAAGGACAGAGAAAGACATCTTGAAAGTGATGGGAAAGGAAGTCTCTTGTTTACAACAGATAATTAAGCCTGTTATTTTTAATTTGTATTTACCCTTAGATTAAGTATTCAATTAATCTATGCTCCCTTACCCTCTTTACAACATATACTGAATTCAGCTACAGCAAGTTACAGCCAGTCATATCAATTTTGTTTTGTTTTGTTTTCCAAAGATGTATGGCAAGTTTTCTTTTATTGCAACATAAATGCAAAAATTTTAAAAGTATTTTAATGAAAAGTTTATCTTCATTTACTTTATGACATTTAAGTGGAGTACTTTGAAAATACTTCAAGCATTGCTGTAAGGAACTCATTGAAATAAAGAGTAGCAAGAAAATCACCAAATAGGCCGGGTGCAGTGGCTCATATATTCAGTATATGATAAGTTCCTCAAATCAGTGGGAGAAATAGGTCATGTATTGTACTGACTAACCAGCTGATTAACTTTTTGAAAAGTTATTTCTATAAACAAGAAATCAAATCCTTATTAGTACAGTTAGATTATTTAAAATGGTTCTACCCAGCATTAGTTAAGGTTGTAGGCATATCAGAAACTGCTACTGGTGTAGGGGCCAAGAGAAAACCTCCCTTTTGCCCTCTGAAAGTTTACTGAAAATCAACTGATAAGAGAATATTAATAAGAGAAAAGGCATACAAATTTATTAAGGTACAGGGCTGGGGACCACAGAATAACTACTTCAGCCCCTCAGTGGGGTACAGAAGCTTATATACCTTTTCTCAGAGGCAAAAGAGGAGATGGGTAATGTAGACAATTTTTTGAGGAACAGTAAATGATTATTAGGGAGAAGGAATGGACCAAGGAGAAAGAAATTAACTTGTAAATGATTCTCTTTGGAATCTGAATGAGATCAAGAGGCCAGCTTTATCTTGTGGGAAAGTTCATCTAGGTATAGTTGCATTCTTCAGTCTTCTTTTCTGCATGCAGTAGATAATGAGGTAACCGAAGGCAATTGTGCTTCTTTTGGTAAGAAGCTTTCTTGGTCATATCAGGAAATTCCAGAGAAAGTCCCTCCCTGGAAGAGAAACCAGACAAAGTTAGAGGGATCTTGATTCTTAGACTTGTTTCTGAGAACCTTCCATTTTCCAAAGCACTCAGGATTACCAAGCTCGATATCTGGGGGGATAATTCTACACCCCAAACACTGGAAATGAAAATAAGTAGAAGATAACTTAGCAATATACCTGAAAGATCTTTAAATTCTATATGAGTCTATCTTGTATTGCTAGGAATTTAGCATATGGAGTATATTTCCATGGTATATTAAGGAGAAAAATGCCACAAAATAGCATAGTTCCACACAAATAAAGAAAACATGTATATATGTAGAGATAATATTTTATTCTTTTTGCTTTATGTATCTTCTATAATGTTAACATTTTTATTATGAGGCAGGAATCATGTTAAGTGAAAAAAGGAAGAAAAACAGCCTAGGTCTTGAGGATTAAAAAGGACTGAAGGAGAACAAAAGGGAGTAGTGCACAGCAGGCCTGTTTCCCTTTTAGGTCCCCTCCACCGACGCGGAGGGACTTCCCGCCAAAGCTCTTCCGGTTTTCAGTCTGGTCCGCAGGGTTTACCCATAAAAGAAAGCTGCCATCACAGGCAGCAGATCTTTGTTCTCTGATCACTTGATAATGTCAGGACGCGGCAAAGGAGGTAAGGGCCTGGGGAAAGGGGGTGCCAAGCGCCACCGCAAAGTGCTGCGCGACAACATCCAGGGCATCACCAAGCCAGCCATCCGGCGCCTTGCTCGCCGCGGCGGCGTGAAGCGCATCTCCGGCCTCATCTATGAGGAGACCCGCGGGGTGCTGAAGGTCTTCCTGGAGAACGTGATCCGGGACGCCGTGACCTACACGGAGCACGCCAAGCGCAAGACGGTCACCGCCATGGACGTAGTCTATGCGCTGAAGCGCCAGGGCCGCACCCTTTATGGCTTCGGCGGCTAAACGGCATTTTGAAGCCCTGTCGTTCTCTAAAAAGGCCCTTTTTAGGGCCCCTAAGCTTTCAACAAAAGAGTTAAAATGACAGCAAACTGAGTCTCTTAATAGGGTCCTTGTCAGTGAGTTCTCTCATCCTGTTTTACAAGATTAACTCGGAATGTCGAAAGTGGACTGATGACTACAGGTGGCCCTGGGCCGAGATTTCCCAAGGCTAGAAGAGCCTCTGCTGGCCAGTAACTTCTGGCGGCTGCTTGCAAATTGCCTGCAGCCGGTTTACCGCTCGGATTAGGGGCGGGCTAGACACTTAACTTCCCTCTGGCCCTTCAAATACGTCTCGGGAGAGATGAGGGGTTTGATAGGGGCTCCATTAAATGCTGGAGCCTCCAGGATTTGGAGTAGGGAGCAGACCATACTTTTACTACTGTAGAAGACAGCTGGGCAGTCTTAAGAGTCTTAGTAATAATATTCCTTTATATGTTTGCCTTCTGATACGATTTTTAAATACTGAAATATATCAAGTATACAAAATGCGCTGGTGACCACACCACTTATTCAACAACTACAGTTAAAATCCTCATGTCCCTTCTCAGTAACACAGCCCTCCCTTTTTCCTATCCTAGAATTAACTAATATTCTAGGATAAACTGATATTCTGAATTTGGTGTTTACTGTTCCTACGCATTTTTAACTTTAGATGCATATACCCCTAATCTATTTTAAACGTCTTCATGAATTTTTACATTTGCTCTTGAAATATATCCGTGTTGAAATGTGCAGTTCTACGTTATTTTCACCATTAATCTAGTTTTCTAATGTGTCAGTAAATACTTTATTCATTTCTGTTGATTTTTTTTTTTTTTCCTCATTACAAAACAGCACTGTACACACCTGTGCATTTTCTGGTTACATGAAAGTGGAATTATTTGGTAAAAGTATGTGCATATTCAACATGAGTAAAAATGAACAATTTGCTTTCCAGGATAGTATTTTAAAATTTACACTCCCATATTCCACCAGCAGTGCTTCAGAATTATTGTTTATCAGCATTTCCTTATGTCAGATTGGAGTTTTTTCAATGAGATTTTTGGCTATTTGGAGATCTTCCCACTTTTCTGGGAATTTTGGTCTATCCAGATTCTCTACAGTTTTTATTTTATGAGTTTTGATTTGTAAATATTTATATATTTGAGTTTAACTTTTTGTCAGTATGTGACAAATATATTCTGTCACCTTGTGGGTTCGTTTTTAACTGTTCGTGATATCTTTGGATGTACAAAATTTTAATAATGTTGGATTTATATTTTTTATAGTTTTTGAATGCTGCCTTTTCATAAAGGAGTTATCTGCCTTCCACTTTCCCCAGGAGCTGCAGGCATCAATCTGGGGAGAAAAAAAAAGTATTTAGGCTGCTTATCTCCTGATTTGGCTTGAATTGGATAGTAAGGCTTTTCTGAAATAGCTCTAAGAGTAGCTTTAAGAGCAAGCTAAGGGAAGACCTCACAAAAGATTGATCTTACTCTCTAAATAAGCAATGATTAACAACACCTAAAATTTTCAAAGTATTACAAAAGGGACAAAAGAAAGGGTGAAAGAGGAAAGTAATTCCTAAGATACACTGAAAGTTTGTTGAAAATTGTGTTAAACGCTTTACATGGATTATCTCATATCTCATATTTTCATGATAGATTTTACTACTATTATTTTAAAATGACAAAATAGAGGTCAAATCAAATAACCAATTCACAAATGTTAGAGTCTGTGACCCAAACTTGTAATTTTTAAATTTTTATTCTTCCAGGAGCATAGATTCAAATTGCCCTGAACATACACTCACTCAAACCTGTAATATTCTTAATCATACTCTCTTAGTGGATAGAGAAGCCATCACAGAGAGTAGTAGTGGTGCTAGTCCTATAATGGAGAATTTGGGGAAATGTGTCAGGACAGGTACAAAACCTGCCTGTCACTTATCCCAATAGGAACGAATTATTTTCATGTGTCAGTTTGTGGGCCTACTTGAGAAAGTCGTTTTCATTTTGTGTCTATATAGTTATGTTATTGTTAAAGAAATCTGCAGCAATGTAACATGTCCTTCCCTGTCATTTTTCATGTTCCAAGCCCAATGGATTAAACACTCCCTTAGGAAAAACTGTAGTAAGTGGTGATGCCAGAAGGAATTGTAATCCTTTGCATAGTGCCCTAGTGGGTTTTAGGTCAAGTTCTGCTCATTGAGTGTCTTATGGTATAGCACTAGCCATGCATGGAGTTTGAGCACTTACAATGTGGCATGTGACTGAGGGAGTGTTTAATTATATTTTAATTAGTTTACATTTAAAAACTGGTGCTGGATTCAATTAGATAACATCCAAGTATGCTTGGAACACCTTAGGGACATGAATCAGAATCTTCTTATTCTAATTACAGATGAAGAATTCCCCATGAAAATTTATTTTGATATACTGTAAAAGTGTAAAATACACACCAGATTTTGAAGATTTGAAATGAAAAAAGAATGCAAGATATTTAATACATTCTGTATTGACTATATGCTGAAACTGTATTTTTGATACATTCTGTCAAATAGGATACATTATTAAAATTAATTGTAACTTTTTTTTTTTTTTTTGGAAACGAAGTCTCGACCCCCTTGTCCCCCAGGTTGGAGTGCAATGGCGCCATCTCGGCTCACTGCAACCTCTGCCTCCCAGGTTCAAGAGATTCTCCTGCCTCAGCCTCCCGAGTAGCTGGGAATACAGATGCGTACCACCCCGCCTGGCTAATTTTTTGCATTTTAAGTAGAGACGGGGTTTCACCATGTTGACCAGGCTGGTCTTGAACTCCTGACCTCAGGTGATCCACCCACCTCGGCCTCCCAAAGTGCTGGGATTGCAGGCATGAGCCACTGCGCCTGATTTTTTTTAACTTTTAAAAATGGTTACTGGAAAGATAAGAAGTACATGTATAACTTGTATTATATTCACTTCCCCCCTTTTATTTTTTTTTTGAGATGGAGTCTTGCTCTGTCGCCCAGGTTCGAGTGCAGTGGCATGATCTCGGCTCACTGCAACCTCTGCCTCCCAGGTTCAAGTCATTCTCCTGCCTCAGCCTCCCAAGCAGCTGGGACTACAGGCGTCCCATTAGTCGAAACCATGCCTGACTAATTTTTGTATTTTTAGTAGAGATGGGGTTTCACCATACTGGCCAGGCTGGTCTTGAACTCCTGACCTTGTGATCCACCCACCTCAGCCTCCCAAAGTGCTGGGATTACAGGCATGAGCCATCGCACCTGGCCGTATTATATTTCTATTTGAGTAGTGTCTTAAGAGTAACAAACTGGCTTTCAGACACTTATAATAGGACAGAAAAATCCTAGTTCAAGAAAGAATGAGAAAGTAGGAGAAACCAAATGAACAACAAATTTCCCAGGCCGGGCACGGTGGCTCACCCACCCGGTTCATGCCAGCACTTTGGGAGGCCAAGGTGGGTGGATCACCTGACGTCAGGAGTTCAAGACCAGCCTGGCCAACATGGTGAAACCATGTCTCTACTAAAAATATAAAAACTAGCCGGGCATGGTCACGGGCGCCTGTAATCCCAGCTATTCAGGAGGCTGAGGCAGGAGAATTGCTTGAACCCAGGAGACAGAGGTTGCATTGAGCCGACACAGTGCCACTGCACTCCAGCCTCGGTGACAGTGAGACTGTCTCAAAAAAAAAAATTTTTTTTTCCTTTCCTTCACGTATATTCCTGAAGACAGAGATAAGGTCTTCTCCCAGCTGTACTTATACCTCAGGTAATATCAAGAAAGCAGTGACATGATATATTACACTTCATGGGCATAGAGTTGTGACATTTACTCCTTTGTATTAAGGACTTGAAGAATTACTAAGTTTTTCCAGCTCATCTAAGGTAGAAAGCCATGCCATTTTCTTAGGTCCATTGACCTCTTCACTTCCAACTTCTAGGCTCAGATACTAGATAACAACACAGACCAAACATATGATTGCCAAGTCCCTAACCACAGTTAAATAAACCTCCACTTTTCAATCCCAGAGCTACTCTCAGTTTCCCAAAGAATGGGAAAATCTGAAGCAGGCAATTATTCTGTGCAAGTGTTCTTCAGGAGGCTGTAACAATTGCTAGATTAAATTGCTGTGGTCCAGAATCACACAGCAATTATTGTAAAGCACTGAACTACTCTTTAAAAAATTATTTTATGAGACAGGAGACAATTTAGCACATTCAACTTTTTAACAATCTAAGAGAGATTATGAAATATAAAAATGAATAAAAGAGCCCTATTTTTGTTTCAAATTAAGTCAAATTAATACACATGGCTAATGAGAAAATAAATGACAAAGAGATACGTGGTATAAGGGGAACAAACAAGAGCATAATGGAATCTTGTTCTGATTCTAACGATCTGAGCAAATTAAGCTTTGCATCCATTTAGCTATTTGTAAAATAACATTGATCTGAACTTTTTGATTCCTTCAAGCTGTTAAACTCTGTGCTATCAACCGGGAATGGTTGCTCATGCCTGTAATCCTAGCACTTTGGGAGGCCGAGGCTGGTATAGATAGCCTGAGGTCGGGAGTTCGAGACCAGCCTGGCCAACATGTTGAAACCCCCATCTCTACTAAAAATACAAAATTTAGCCAGGTGTGGTGGCAGGCGCCTGTAATACCAGCCATTTGGGAAACTGAGGCAAGAGAATCGCTTGAACCTGGGAGGGGGAGGGTTGCAGTGAGCCAAGATCTCACCATTGGACTGCAGCCTGGGCAACAGAGCTAGACTCCGTCTTGCGGGGGGAAGGGGGGGAAAATCTGTGCTATCGAGAGAAATAAAATGAGATCATTTTGAAGGGAGTGAGAAAAGGGGTGAGGGTGAAAGCAGGAGAAAGTTATGGCCACTTCCACCCAGTATTTCTATTAAAACACAAATGCACTTCCAGAATTTTATAAAAAGCAAAAAGGACTGAAAGTAAATTGTATAAAATCAAGATGTTATGTCCATTTGCAAAAATAGTTTGTAAGTCTAAAGGTAATAACAGCAGATAACTTCAGAGTAAAAATTTTAGTCTGTAAAGAGTAGTCAGGTATACCTGAAGGTAGAATTCATTGGCATAGTGTATCTTAGTTTGTTTTTAAATTTTATTTGCGACGGAGTCTTGCTCTGTTGCCCAGGCTGGAGTGCAGTCAGGTGATCTCAGCTCACTGCAACCTTTGCCTCCTGGGTTCCAGCAATTCTCCTGCCTCAGTTTCCCCAGTAGCTGGGACTACAGGCACACGCCACCACACCCAGCTAATTTTTGTATTGTTAGTAGAGACGGGGTTTCACTATGTTAGCCATGCTGCTTTCGAATTCCTGACTTCAAGTGATTGCCTCCTATATAGGTATAGATATAGATCAGTGCCTTCTATATAGGTAAACAATAAATATAATTATTTGTTGATATATTTCTTAGAATATTAGTGTAACCCCAAAATTGCTGATAGGATAAATAAGACTTAGATGAACAGTGAACATATGCTTTGCATGTATTTAAAGTTTTCCAGTATGACCTTGCTAATCTCCAAATGCCCAAGGGCGGGCAATATCCCCAAAGACTAGAACAATGCATGGCCAAATATGTTAAATATATATACAGACACATATACATTGAAAATTTCCCTGTGAAACTGGCCTGCATTTCTAAATCACAAATTTAGCCAGGTAACAACCTAGCTTAAAATTCGTGGACCCTTTCTTTCACTTGGTTCTTCCAAAAAAGTTCCACACTGCTTATCACCGGCATAGCCATTCTAGCCTCCAGTTACACAATAAAATCCACCTAACTCTGCTCAGACCCTGTGCTGCTGGGGAAGTTCCCTTCTCTACTCCAACTTCTTGCTTCGGGGCGGACTGTCTCTAGTCTCAGTCTGTTGTCTCCCCTCTGGATCCAGTTGTTTTTCCTTTTCTATAAGTTTTGTCAAAAGGAAAAATTACTGGTTGAACCAATTGACGCTGAACATGCCTTAACAACTAGCAAACTATTCAAGAATCTCCGCGATGATCTCATGTTCCGTTTCTTCACTCATGAGAAAAGCTGTGCTCCTCCCCTTACCCTTGCAGACTATCCTGCCTGGTGGTCTGGCATCTTCCCGATGTCTTGTGGGCCGGAGAGGTGGAAACGGGGGGTGAGAGGGAAGCAAGCAAGGCAGAGCTGGGTACAGCCTAGAAGGGGTTAAATAAGGTAATTGCTCGCGCGAAAGCCATACGTACTGGTAGGCCATTGGGAACCAAATTTACAAATATATAAACTCAAGTTAGAACTCCTTTAAATGGTGGAAAGTACACGTGACACAATAGGCTTTCAACAAGTTCTAACAGGAAGTCACAGCACTCGACACAACGGAAGTATCCATTTTCGCGCCAAGAGCCAGGAAGCACTTTCTGTTAACGCAAATTTCCTGCACATCCTTAATTTTTTAGGCGCCATATTCCTTACTCAGTACTCTCAGTACTAACAAAGTGCATATGGCTTCTTTAGCCTGTACTCGATTACAAGCACTGTACACATTACTCAATGTAATGAGATCATAACAACCCCTTTAAAGAAATCGCCATTATTTAAACCTGGATTAGGAACACGTGTTTGCAGCTCTAATAGCGACAATTTAAGTGGCTCTTAAAAGAGCCTTTGGGTTTGGGCTTTAAGACGCTTACTTGGCAGGTTTACTTAGCGCTGGTGTACTTGGTGACGGCCTTGGTGCCCTCCGACACCGCGTGCTTGGCCAACTCCCCGGGCAGCAGTAGGCGCACGGCCGTCTGGATCTCCCTGGAGGTGATGGTCGAGCGCTTGTTGTAATGCGCCAGACGGGAAGCCTCACCCGCAATGCGCTCAAAGATGTCGTTGACGAAGGAGTTCATGATTCCCATGGCCTTAGAGGAGATGCCGGTGTCAGGGTGGACCTGCTTCAGCACCTTGTACACGTACACGGAGTAGCTCTCCTTGCGGCTGCGCTTGCGCTTCTTGCCGTCTTTCTTCTGGGCCTTAGTCACTGCCTTCTTCGAGCCCTTCTTGGGCGCAGGAGCGGACTTCGCTGGCTCCGGCATGTTGAGGGCGAACTACGAGTCGAGGCGGACTAACAGCAGATCGAGAAAACGGGAAGTAATGGGAGCAAGGCACCAGGAGTCGTTTTTATATAGAACCTCTCATGCAAATGAGGTGAAGAGTTAAAGTCCTGTATCTGATTGGTGGTTATTCAGGGTGACCTCAGAGGTTAGTTATACCTAATCAACCAATCAACAAATCCAAAAGATGTACTTCCATTGGTTAAAATTAAGTGGCAACTCTAACCAATGACATATCTTCTTTTTCGCGCCCAATGGTGTTTATAAAAGGCGCTGCCTCTCCACTTTCGTTTCGCTGGGTACTTTAAGTAAGTTGTGGTCAGTATGTCTGGACGTGGCAAGCAAGGCGGTAAAGCTCGCGCTAAGGCCAAGACCCGTTCTTCTCGGGCTGGGCTGCAGTTCCCTGTGGGCCGAGTGCACCGCTTACTCCGCAAGGGCAATTATGCAGAGCGGGTTGGGGCCGGCGCGCCGGTGTACCTGGCTGCGGTGCTGGAGTACCTGACTGCTGAGATCCTGGAGCTGGCT